TCCACCCTTGAGATCTTATCTCTAATTAATTACACAAAAACCAGAAATGGTGCTGTGGCTCAAAGTGGTATAGCACTAGTAGAGGGAAAACAAGCTCAGGGAGCCAAGTGCTGGTGGCTCACACCTGTCATCCTCGCTACTCAGGAGGCTGAGATCTGAGGATGGTGGTTCAAAACTAGCAGGAACAGGAGCTCTTATCTCCAATTAACCACTAGAAAACCAGAAGTGGAGCTGCTGCTCTAGGTGGTAGAGTGCTAGCCCTGAGCAAAGGAGCTCAGGGATAGTTCTCAGGTCCTGAGTTCAAGCCCCACAACCAGACAAAACAAACAAAAACCAGGGCTGGGAAGGTGGCTCAATGGTAGAGTGCTTGTCTCACATGCATGAGGACCTGAGTTCAATTCCTCAGCACCACATAAGCAGAAAAAGCCAGAAGTGGTGCTGTGGCTCAAGTGGTAGAGCGCTTGCCTTGAGCTGAGGAGCTCAGGGACAGTGCCCAGGCCCAGAGTTCAAGCTCCATGACTGACAAAAAACAAAAAAACAGCAAGCTCAGTAACAGCACATAGGCCCAGAGTTTAAACCCCAAGATTGGCACATACAAAGCTTTTAAGTGACCCCAACCAGCACACACACACAGCCCTCGTTCATTCCATAAATATTTACCCAAGGCTGGCCTGTGCAGGCCTGTGCGGCAATTCTCAGGGTGTAAAGCAAATAGCTCACACCCTGAGCGCAGCCCCACACACCTCATGACAAGTAACTGCACCTCGCCCGATTCCCCTGATTTCCAGGACCCACCCCTCCCTTCACCTTTCCTCCCCTCGGGTTTCCCAACTCCAGAAACCTGGCAGATTTCACCCTTTCCCCCACCTGGCACTTCCTGCTCAACTCACATCCCAAGGTCAGTTTCCACCTCCACCCTCTCCCCGGGGTTAGTATCCATCCACCACCTGTTTACATCACCTGAAGACCCCACCCCCACCGCCACCCCCGCCCCCGCCCTCCGTTGGCTCCACGTCGCCCCCTGCTGGCAGGAGGCTTAGCTGAGAGGATAGGGCCACCTCACCTGCCGGCTCCCTTTACATTCAGGGCGTGAGGCCTGAGGGGCCCTGGCGGAGGCCAGGAGCTGTCCCCCTGGCTCTCCTCTAACACGGGGATGGGGTGGGGCCGGGGGAGGAGGGGGGCTCTGGTTCTGGCAGTAGGAGCCCCAGGCTGGCAGTAGCATCTCAATCAGTGGCTGCCCTGGGGTTATTTTCTCCAGTAATCAGCCCTGGAAGTTCCTGAGTCACTGAGATTCCATGGAGACCCACCCTGTGGTCTTTTTTCTCCTTTTTTTTGACTGCCACATCTGATGGTCCCCTGGAGAGAGTGCGTGGGGCGGTGAAGCGTAGTGCCTGAACTCAGCCCTGACTGAGGGAAACTCCCAGCTTCCTGTGACCTGGGTCCTGGGTGACAGGTCAAGCCTGACTCAGATGGAGCAGCCAACATGGAAACTTACCAAGGCTCAGAAAGAGGGGTGTAGGGGAGCTCCCGGGGCGGTGCTGGCAGCAGGGACCAGGTCTGGGCCTCTAGGAGGGCAGAGCAGGTGGAGGACCTGGGGGCCTCCTCCCCCAGGAATCCAGGCTTCTCCTCCCTCCGGGGAACTGGGATCAAAGCCCAGAGGAAGAAGGAAGTAAGAGCCTCCGACCTTAGTGACACACTGAGGCCAGCTGGGCCAGTTCACGCTCTCCCCGCAGGCAGTCGGCCCTGCTTGCCACAATAGAACCCTAGGCCCCTGGTCTGCCTGTTTATAACACTGACCCCAATTCACCTGCCCAGCTTGTTCTTCGCCTTCCTCCTGCTGCAGGAGTTTGCAGGTGTCCACCCACCTGTGTCTTCCATGCGTGTGGGAAGATAATAAGAGACGGTGGAGCTCACACCTGTAATCCTGGCTACTCCAGGGGTTGAGATCTCTAGCTAACAAAGCCAAGAGATTTTTTTTTTCTCCAATCCTGGGGCTTGAACTCAGGGCCTAGGCACTGTCCCTGATCTTTTGCTCAAAGCTTTCTATTGCCTGAGCCACAGTGCCACTTCTGGCCTTTTCTGTTTATGTGATACTGAGGAATCATGCAAGTTAGGCAAGCACTCTACCACTAAGCCACATTCCCAGCCTCCTCTGCCTCTGCCTCCTCTTCTTCTTCCTCCTCCTCCTCTTCTTTCCTGGTCATAGGGCATGGGCGCTATCCCTGAGCTCTTTTGCTCAAGGCTAGTGCTTTACCACTTTGAGTCAGAGTACCACTTCCAGATTTCTGGTGGTTAATTGAAGATCAGAGTGGCACAGACTTTCCTGCTCTTCTGCTTGAGCTGGCTTTGAACCACAATCCTCAGATCTCAGCCTCCTGAGTAGCTAAGATTACAGGCCATGAACCACCAGCCATGGACAGAGTCCCTACTCTTTTTTTTTTTTTTCTTTGGGTCCGGTTGTGGGGCCTGAACTCTGGGCCTGGGCGCTGTCCCTCAGCTCTTCAGCTCAAGGTTAGCGCTCTACCACTCACTTGAGCCACAGCGCCACTTCCAGCTTTTTTCTTTTTTCTTATGTGGTACTGAGGAATCGAACCCAGGGCCTCAGGCATGCAAGGCAAGCACTCTACCACTGAGCCACCTTCCCAGCCCCAATTCCCTACTTTTAAAAGGGAAACTTCACTTCCCCTCACCCGCATCCAGTGACAGCAGCTTCTCCTTTGGTGTTACCAGGAAGGTCCTGGGGGGCTACAGGACAGCCCCTGGAGGAGGTGAAGGCAAAGATAAAGCTCTAAGATTTAGCTAAACTTCCAACTAGAATCTACTTACGGGGCCTCCAGGGGCCTTTGCAAAGTTTCAATTGAAGGCAGTCTGTAGCGCTTGCTCAGGGAGGTCTAAATTGTGGCCTGAGGCTGCTGTTATTCCTGCTGTTCACATTATCATCCTTAAGCAACCTCCTCCAGGCAGGCTGCCCAGCCTTACTTGACCAGCAGGAACACGACCTGATCGCCAAACACAACCATGCCAGGAAGTCAGTTTTCTCTGTCCTTCACAGTTTTAAGAGGTGGCCTCAAGGTCAAGTAGCTAGTTAGCTGCTCAACCAGATCGTGAACTTTGCCTTAATCTAGTCCCAGGCCTAGTGAGCCCTCCCTCCCTCTCTGCCTTCCCTCCCTCTGCCCACTCCTTCACAGACTGCCTCCTGCCCTTCCTCCTGACAGCTGCCTAACCAGCTAGGGGACCCCACTGCTTCCCCAGGCCCAAAAAGCTGTCCCCTAAACAACTGACAAGGAAGGGTTGAGAGAGTTTTCCATGCTGGGGGTGTGGCTCAGGGCTTGGGAGCTTGCTTGAGTGTTGTATCCAAGACTGGGTCCCACCCCCAGTACCTCAGGGAAAAAAGAAAAAGATATTTTCCAAAAGAGTTAAAATCATGACTGATGCGTGAACCTAAAGAACAAGCCTCAGGTATTAACCACTTCTCTCTCTTTTTTCTTTCTTCCTTCCTTCCTTTTTTTTTTTGTCAGTCATGGGGCTCAAACTCAGGGCCTGATGCTGTCCTTGAGCTCTTTTGCTCAGCTCTACCACTCTACCACTTTGAAACACAGCTCCACTTACAGTTTTTGAGTGGTTAATTGGAGAATCCCCTGGGAACTTTACTGCCGGGGCTGGCTTTGAACTTTGATCCTCACATCTCAGCCTCCTGAGTAGCTAGGCTCACTGGCTTGAGCCACCAGCACCTGGCTTTAACCACAGCTCTTAACTGTCAAGGGAGGGAGGTGCAATGCTGGCCACAAGGCTTGTATCTTAGAGGTCAGGATATTGAAATGAGTATGCAAATTAGAGCAAAACTGGTTTTTCCACTGCAGGGGCAGGGGGAGGGAAACCTCCACTGGACCGGAAGGGAAGGAAGGGATTTTCATCTGCCTATAATTTACAGAGCTGTAAAATAGCTCAAAGAAGGGAAAAGCTAGAATTCAACAACCCAGAGGGTGTGTAGGGTGGTTACCTCCTAGCTTTCTGGGAGGATTGTGAGAGGGTTGTTTGCAAAAGGCTTAGATGCTGAGGGGGGTCACACTACAGCTCCACCTAATCTTCACCCTCCCTCAAAGAAAGCCTGAGTCACTCACCGGATGCCTGGCCCCTTGTAGAGGAATTGGGGAAATGACAGCTAGGCCTGTGGTCTAAACTCAGCATTTTAAAGAGGAAGAGCTGAACACATCAAAAAGAAACACCCCCCCCATCATATTTGCTTATCTGTGTTACACTGTACTGGGTCCTTAGAAACTAAACAGCCTTTGCTAAAGAGCACTGGGGAGCTGGGTGCCATTGGCTCATGCCTGCAATCCTAGCTACTCAGGAGGCTGAGATCTAAAGATCATGGTTCAAAGCCAGCCTGGCAGGAAAGTCTGTGAGACTTTTTTTTTTTTTTTGTCAGTTATGAGGCCTGAACTCCGGGCCGGGCGCTGTCCCTCAGCTCTTCAGCTGAAGGCTAGTGCTCTACCACTTGAGCATCAGCCCCACTTCCAGCTTTTTCTGCTTATGTGGTGCTGAGGAATCGAACCCAGGGCCAAGGCAAGCACTCTAACACTGAGCCACCTTCCCAGCCTCCAATGAGACTCTTATCTCTCATTAACCACCAGAAAACCAGAAGTGGTGCTGTGGCTCAAGTGGTAGAGCGCTCACCTTGTGTTGAGGAGCTCAGGGACAGTGCCCAGGCCCAGAGTTCAGGCCCCAAGACCGAGAAAAATTAAATAAATATTTTTTTTTTTTTAAAGCACTGGGGACTGGCACCAGTTGCTCATGCCCGTAATCCTAGCTATTCAGGAGACAGATCTGAAGATCACGTATGAAGGCAGCCTAGGCAAAAAGGTCCATGAGACTCACCTCCAGTTAACCACCAGAAAACTGGAAGTGGTGTTATTGCTCAAGGTAGTAGGCCCTCGCCTTGCACACAAAAGCTCAGACAGAACCCACTCCCTCTTCTTCCCTTTCTTTCTTTTCTGCCAGTACTGGGGCTTGAACTCGGCCTTGTGCTCTTGCTTGGCTCTTTCATTCAAAGCTAGTGCTCTATCACTTGAGCCACAGCTCCACTTCCAGGTTTTCGCAGGTTATTTGGACATAAGGGTCTTGTGGACTCTTCTGCCCAGCTGGCTTTGAACCAAGATCTTCAGATCTCAGCCTCCTGAGTAACTAGGAATACAGGTGTGCGCCACAAGCATCCAGCACTGGGTCCTTTCTTAGGGATATGAATTACTAGCTGGAAGAGGAGAAACGCTTGGCATTTTGGCCTCCATTTGGCATCCATTTAAAAGTCCTAGTTACCATTTGGTGGGTTTTAGAACCTTCTAAAACACAGATGTTTCTTAAATGTGTCTGTGAAGGAGACCTCAAGATTTCTCTGGAGGGGCTGGGAAGGTAGCTCAGTAGTAGAGCACTTGCCTTGCATGCCTGAGGCCCTGGGTTCGATTCCTCAGCACCACATAAGCAACAAGAAAAAAGCCGGAAGTGGTGCTGTGGCTCAAGTGGTAGAGCGCTAGCCTTGAGCTGAAGAGCTGAGGGACAGCGCCCAGGCACAGAGTTCAGGCCCCATGACCCAACCAAAAAAAAAAGAAAAAAAAAAGATTTCTCTGGATATGCTTTGATCCCCTCTGCTGTACAGCGTGGGGCAGATGCTCGCCTTGAAGATGAGCAACCCCCCCTTGCACTCTTTCTTGGCTTTTTCAAGCAAGGCTGGCACTGTACCATTTGCAGCACACCTGTGGCTTTCTGCTGATTGGAGATGAGTCTCTGAGACCTCAGATCTCCACCTCCTGAATAGGATTATAGGCATGAGCCACGGGATCCAGCCATAGCTGCCTGTTGAGTTGAAAATGTCAGGGTCCAGGCTTTCTAGGCTGGTTATTCTGTCCCCATCAGCCCAGCCTCCTCCTCTCACCATTGCCTTCTGTTCCTCATTCACCCTCTCTCTACCATTTGTATTAGTGGCAAGGTAGAGAGTTGGTACATGGTGCCTCCAAACACTAGGGTTTAGTCTTGCACCCCAGCAGCTCAGGGCTGTCAGGTGAGCCCCTCCCAGGTGGGAGTCGGGGCAGGTGAGGCCACCATTCACAGCCGCAGTGCTCCTTCTCCAGTTATGCAGTTTGTTTTCTCAGCCTCGTTTCAACAGTGGCCGATGTGGGTCAGGTCCAGGGATGCCAGTTAACCAGGGCCAGCAGAACAGGCAGGTCCGGGATGACCACTGCCAACCTGTGTGCGGAAGAGCATGGGAGAGGGGTGAGAACCTCAGCAACGGCCTGGGCTCTGTTCTCTGGTCCATGCTGCCCCCTGGTGGCTGCGCACCAACCTGCCTTTAGGGAATCCCAAGGTTGGGGCCAGAACTGGCAAGGTTGGCTGACAGTGGGACCTGGCCTCCAGGACCCCAGGGAGGGGAAGCCCACCCCCTCAGGGCTCCTGCAGCAGTCACAATTTATTGGCTTCCCCATACAAGCACCTATTTTAGTTTGTTTGTGTGCAGAGATATTTGTTTTGGTGTGCTGGGCATGGAACATGGGACTTCCACATGCCAAATGCACTCTATTGCTGAGCTGTACCCTCACACCAGACTTTATATATATTAATACCTTATATGATACAACATATTACATCATCATTGCAATACTTTTCCCTTTGTCAGTCATAGGACTTGAACTCAGGGTCCAGGCAGTCCCCGAGCTGTTTGGCTCAAGGCTCATGCTCTGTCCCTTTGAGCCACAGCTCCACTTCCTGTTTTCTGGTGGTTAGAGTTAAGTCTCACAGACTTTCTTGCTCGGGCTGGCTTTGAACTGTGATCTTCAGATCTCAGCCTCCTGACTAGGATTACAGGCCTGAGCCACCAGCATCCGGCTCTACATTGTTTCTTGTGCCAGTCCTGGGGCTTGAACTCAGGGCTGTTCCTGACCCTCAGGCTTTGGGGGGATCCTCATGGTTCTGTGCTGTGTCTGCCCTTGCTGAGCAGGCACTAGTAACCTGGATTTGTTGGCTGCTGGGCACTGAGCGGACCCATGAGGAGGGGGAGAAAGGAGTCAGGCCTGCCATCCATGACGGAACAATGCTGGGCACAGGAATGGATGCATCCCTTGTGATTTGCTGAGCTGAACCCCAATGAAGGAAGAAAGGGGGATGGCTACTTCAGACACGAGTCACAGCCAGCAGATAATTTTCCAGGGCTACAATCAAAGCCCAGCATTCAGATGGGTGCTGGGGCTCATGCCCATAATCCTAGCTACTTAGGAGGCTGAGGTCTGAGGACATTGGTTTTCAGCATCCATGAGACTCTTATCTCCAATTAACCACCAATAAGCTGGAAGTGGAACTGTGGCGCAAGTGGTAGGGTGCCAGCCTTGAGTGAAGAGCTCAGGGTCAGTACTCAGGCCTTGAATGTAAGCCCCATAAAAGCCAGCATTCATCTGGTTAAAAACAAGACCACGGATACTTCTCAGTGACACCTTTATTTTTATGTGTAAGAAGGAAAAACCTAACTCATACACAGCACATGTCTGGATCTATTGTTTAGCATGAAGCCAAACTGAAAGTGAGCAAAGAAAGTGGCAGGCAAATATCCAGGAAGCGCACGCGCAGGCAGGCAGAGCTGTGGATGGCGGCGGTAAAGGCAGAAGCCAGCGGCTCAGAGCTCAGGGCAGGAAGTGGGGCTGTCTGGGATTGAAGGGGCGCTGCAGAAATCCTGGGCTTCCACAGGAACACAGATGGGGCAGCTCACAGAGAGAGGAATGCACAGGGTGCTTATTCTGAGATGTCAGAAACTACAAAGCAAAAGTGGTTTGCCTGGAAAGGAGAACCTTCTAGACATGGCCTTGTGGAGCTATGGTTACAGGGGGCATCTGGGGTCACAGCTGTCGAGAGTCACCCTAGGGTGTCTATGTTATAGATACTCCATGCAGCCACCGGCAGGGAGAGTGGGGAGGGGGGAAAGCTGATACCTGAGTGGGTATCTGCGGACTGCCCCCCCTCCCACCCAGGCCATCCTCATCTGCAAGGTGTTCAGGACACACCCTGCAGGGGTGCAAAGCCTGTGGCCACGTCACCACGAGGTCCCATTCTTAGACATTGATAATCAAAGGGAGATGTTTCAAAGAAAAGGGAAATTAAAAGAAAAAAGGTCTCTCCCAAATCCAAAGTATATATTCCTTATTAAAATCTTCAATTTTCGGGGCTGGGAAGGTGGCTCAGTGGTAGAGCGCTTGCCTTGCATGCCTGAAGCCCTGGGTTTAATTCCTCAGCACCACATAAGCAAAAAGAAAAAAGCCGGAAGTGGCGCTGTGGCTCAAGTGGTAGAGTGCTAGCCTTGAGCTGAAGAGCTGAGGGACAGAGCCCAGGCCCAGGGTTCAAGCCCCACAACCGGACCCAAACAAAACAAAACAAAAAAACTTCAATTTTCAAAACAAAAACACCTTTCCTCCTTCACTTTTGGTCCATATTAGGATTTGAACTCAAGTGCTTTGTGCTTTTGCGGCAGATGCTCTACCACTTGAATCATACCTCTAGTCTGACATTTTGCTGGTTAATTTGGAGATGCTGTTTCAAGGACTTTTCTGCCTTGGCTGGCTTCAAACTGTGATCCTCCAGATCTTAGATGCTTGAGTAGCTAGGATTCCAGGTGTGAGTCACTGGTAGCCCCTGGCCTTTTTACAAGATGGTGGTGTTTCCCCTCACGTTGCTCAGACCTGCTGACCACACGCATCTCAGCACACTGTACTGGATGATGTCAGTGCTAGGGATACTAGGTGCTAATCTTGAGACTTGTGGGGGGGGGCCCTCCACCTCCACCTCCGCCCTCCCCTCCCCTCATGGGTTAAAGCCATCTACTAGAAGGCCTGAAAGGCCTCCAGGAATGAACGATGCTTCTAGCAAGCAAGGAGGAGGAACTGAAAGTGTGGGGGGCTGGTATTAGCACCCCAGGGTGGGAGGGGCTCAGTCCCCCTGCATAATAGACACACTGGGCTGAACTGCCCACTGTCCACAGGAAGGCTCAGGAAGAAAGTGTGCAAGAATAGATGAGGAAGAGAAACAAAGTCAGGGCAGGGCTGGGCGTCTCAGCAGCAGCTGGCCGCACTCCGCTTCACGTGGCACGGCTTGCAGAAGAGATGGTCATTCAGCGGGTAGCAGCCTTGGTCAGTGGGCTCTACGGACAGGAGAACACTGCAGTCCTGGGGAAATAAAGGCACATGTCACATGCAAATGTCCTGGGGTCTAGGCACTGCCAGCACACAGCCTACCCAGGGGAGAGACTTCATTAAGCCTTCCCTGCAGGGCAGCAGTCAGCTTCTCATTCTGGACCTCCTGGACCAGATCTGCCCTGGAGAAGACCAGAAACATAGGATTTTACTTCACAGGAGGGGTGAGTGGCTGACGTGGTAGCCTGGCTGTGGGGAGGCCGAGGATCCTCAAAAAGGCAATGTGAGGGTCCCAGGAGGCTGAGGTCCCAGGGTGTAACCAACAGCCTTTTTAGGATGTGCGGTGTGAGGCAGGTCCTCCTGGGGCTCCAGCGTGGCACTGCACAGGCTCCCAACCAATGTCTGTGGAACGTATCTCCTGGCTAGCCCTGTTCCTCACTTCGCAGGTGGGGAAACTGAGGCCTGAGAAGGGTGGGGTTTTCTTCAGGCCTCACAGCAAGTTCTAGAGCAGGCTGGTGGCCAGGCTGAGTTGAAGGGTCTCTCTCTCTCTCTCTCTGTCAGTCCTGGGGCTTGAACTCAGGGCCTGGGCACTGTCCTGGGGCTTGAACTCAGGGCCTAGGCACTGTTCCTTGAGCTTCTTTTGCTCAAGGCTAGCCCTCTACCACTTGAGCCACAGCGCCACTTCTGCCTTTTTCTGTTTCTGTGGTGCTGAGGAATCGAACCCAGGGCTTCATCCATGCTAGGCAAGCGCTCTATCACAAAGCCACATTCCCGGCCCTGGAGGGGGATTTTTTGTTATTTCCCAGGTCACACGTCTGTAAGATCAGCAAAACCATGAACCACGGACTTCAGGAGGAAGAGGAGAGGGGTTCGGGCCTAAACTGCCAACACAAACTTCACCATTTACCCCTGGCGCACATCTCATCCGAGCCTCACACATCATGCCTCATCCTTCATGCTTCGGGTAGGAATGAAAGATTCATGCGCAGAGACCGGATTCTGGGCTCAGCTGGCACCCTTGGGAGCTGTGGTGACATAAGAGTCTTGTCTTCACAGAGATGACTTTGAGGTCACAGGTGTCGGTCGTGAACCAGCAGGAGCCAGGGGCCACAGCCTGGTTTCTCAGTGGCCACTTGGAGAGGGCGCCCTCATGTGGCTCCTCTCTGCAACTCCACCCTAGCCCCTGGGGGAAACTAAGTCCTGTATCTGGGTCATTCACAATGGGTCACTTGTTTGTCATTCTGAGAGGATCAAGTGTCAAACCTGAAGTTCCAAAGAGGCGCTTGTGACCTTTTTTCTAAATTAGAACACAGAGCGAGAAACAAAGTGCCTGCTAAATCATCGAGGTCTGAGAAGAGCTGCAGAGTGGCAGACAGCCACAGGACAGGCCTGGCAAAAACGATCCTTGGTTTCTCCAACATAAATGGGAATAATGAATACCTTCAGAGCCGGGCGCCGTTGGCTCACGCCTGTAATCCTAGCTACTCAGGAAGTTGAGATCTGAGGATCACGGTTCAAAGCCAGCCCTGGCAGGAAAGTCTGTGAGACTCTTATCTCCAACAAACTACCAGAAAACCAGAAGTGGCTCTGTGGCTCAAAGCACTCAGCTGAAGAGCTGAGGGACAGCACCCAAGCCCAGAGTTCAAGCCCCATGACCGACAAAAAACAAAACAAAAAACCTTCTGCTAGCTAGGCATCAGTAACTCATGCCTGTAATCCTAGCTATTCAGGAAGCTGAAGATTATGGTTCAAAGCCAGCCTGGGCAAGGAAGCCCATAAGACTCTTTATCTCCAATTAACCACCAGAAAACCGGAAGTGGCATTGTGGCTCAAGTGGTAGAGTGCTCACCTTGAGCTGAAGAGCTAAGGGATAGTGCCTAGGCCCAGAGCTCAAGCCCCATGACCAAAACAAATCTGGAAGTGGAGGTGTGGCTCAAGTGGTACAGTACCAGCCTGAAGTGAAAAAGCTCAGGGACACTGCCCAAGCCCTGAGTTCAAGCCCTAGCACCAGCAGAAAACAAACAAAAAAACACCAAACAGACATAGATGCAAGAATGTTATATAAATAAAAAAGTACCACCCATGTAATAAATGCTACTCTTTCAGTAATAGATATTATGAGCCACAAAGTCAACAAAAATGGAGAGCCAGGGCCCGTGGGCAGTGCCTGGAAATCACTTCCCTTCCTAAAGAGCTGCCCACACTGGACACTGCTCACACCTGTAATGGTAGTTATTCAGGAGTCCGATATCTGGAGGATCAAGGTTCAAATCCAACCTGAGCAAAAAAAGTCTAAAAGAGTCCATCTCCAAAATAAACAGCAAAAAGCCAGGCAGGCTGGAGGTATGACTCAAGTGGTAGAATGCCAGCTTAACAAGTTAAAGGCCGGCAGTTCAAACTGTACTCAGGTATAGTCAAAGAAGAAGAAGAAGAAAAAATGGCTGGGCTTGTAATTCTAGCTACTTAGAAGGCTAAGATCTGAGGATTGTGGTCTGAATCGAGCCTGGGCAGGAAAGTCCATAAGACTCTCATCTCCTATAAACTACTCAGAAAAATCCAGAAGTGGTGCTATGGCTCAAATGGTAGAGTGCTAGCCTTGAGCACAAAGAAGCTTAGGGACAGCGCCCAAGCCAGAGTTCAAGCCCCAGGACCAGCCATAAAACCAAAAAAAGCCCCCCAAAAACAGACAAGCAAAAATACCCCCCAAAACAAAAAAAACTAAAGGCCAGTGCCCAGACCCCAAGTTCAAGCTCTAGTACCACCTAAAAAAAAAAAGAAGCCGGACATTGGTGGCTCACGCCTGTAATCCTAGCTACTCAGGAGGCTGAGCTCTGAGGTTCATGGCTCAAAGCCAGCCAGGGCAGGAAAGACTGTGAGACTCCTATCTCCAATAAACCACCAGAAAACCGGAAGTGGTGCTGTAACTCAATTGGTAGAGCGCTCGCCTTGAGCTGAGGAGCTGAGGGACAGCGCCCAGGCCCAGAGTTTAAGGCCCACAACTGACAGGAAAAAAGGAAGAAGAGGAGGAGGAGGGGGATGGGGAGGGGGAGGAGGAGGGGTATGGGGAGGGAAAGGAGGAGGAGGAGGAGGAGGAGGAGGCGGCAGCAACAGCATTTCCCGAACCAGGTTGCAAGCCCCACCTTCTGAAGTGTAAGCACCAGAGTGCAAGTCCTGCCTTGCAGCGCAGCCTCTGCTGGTCAAGGTCACACAGGACAAGCAGGGGTGGGGGATGAGGGGTGTTGGGTATTTGCTTTCCCAGCCAGGCTCACAAGATTGCTATTCATACTGGACAACAGCAGGGATACTGGCAGTGACTTTGGTCACTGGTCTTCCAAGAAGCAGCAGCAGCTGGACTTTGATCTCAAACAGCCAGGTTGGCAGCTGCATATCTCCTTCCCTCCCAGCCTGCCCCCCACCCCCCATGCCCCAGAAACTCCCTTCTGGTCGTACATACCTGTTTCAAGATGAGCAAACGCATACTCAGAATTATTCCTTGGTAAGTTGTGAGAGACCTGCCCTGAGACTCCTCAGTTAGGGACACCCATGAAAACCTCCCCTTTCTCCAGGCACCAGAGAAGCCACAGTGCTAAGGGGCAGGCAGGGGAAGAAGGAGAGGAGGGATTCTTGGCACTCCCAGGCAGGGCTTGCTACACTGCTTTTGGGGTGCAGGCCATGGGGAAATCAAGGCTCTGTGCTCAGATTTGGAGTGTCCAGGCATCCACAGACTGGCTTTTATTTATTTTTTTGTGGTCTGTCATGGGGCTTGAACTCTGAGCCTGGGCACTGTCCCTCAGCTCTTCAGCTCAAGGCTAGTGCTCTACCATTTGAACCACAGCACCACTTCCGGTTTTCTGGTGGTTAACTGGAGATCAGAATCTCATGGACTTTCCTGCCCAGGTTGGCTTTGACCCTTGACCCTCAGATCTCAGCCTCCTGAATAGCTAGGATATGTGTGAGCCACTGGCGCCCAGCTCAGAGCAGTTTTTGTGTTTTTTTTTTTATTTTTGGGTCCGGTCGTGGGGCCTGAACTCAGGGCCTCAGGCATGCAAGGCAAGCACTCTATCACTGAGCCACCTTCCCAGCCCTCAGAGCAGTTTTTAAAGCTTTTTTTTGGTTGGGGTCTGGTAGTGGGGCCTGAACTCTGGGCCTGGGCGCTGTCCCTCAGCTTTTCAGCTCAAGGCTAGCACTTTACTACTTGAGCCACAGTGCCACTTCCTAAAGCTTTTTTTTTTTTTAAAACCTTTCTTTTTTTTTTTTTTTAACTTAGGACTTTATGCTTGCTCAATTGATACTGTAGTAACTGAGCTCCTAGTTTTTTTTTTTTTTTGGGTCCGGTCATGGGGCCTGAACTCTGGGCCTGGGCGCTGTCCCTCAGCTCTTCAGCTCAAGGCTAGCGCTCTACCGCTTGAGCCACAGCGCCACTTCCGGCTTTTTTCTTTTTGATTATGTGGTGCTGAGGAATCGAACCCAGGGCCTTGAGCATGCAAGGCAAGCGCTCTACCACTGAACCACCTTCCCAGCCCGAGCTCCTAGTTTTTTGCTGGCTAATTGGAGATACGTGTTTTGTAGATTTGTCTTTATGGGCTTATTTTAAACTTTGATGCTCAGGTTTCAGCCTCCTGAATAGCTAGGGGAGTCTGGCTGTCTTCAGGGGTGTCTAAACCCAAGCCCTTGCCCAGAGAATGCTAGCCCATAGGCAGAGAAATGAAGCAAGAAACAGAAAAGGCAAAGCCAGACAGGTAGCTGCGTGCCGGTGGCTCACTCCCGTAATCCTACTCAGGAGGCCGAGATTTGAGGATGTTCAAGTTTTGAAGTCAGCCTGCCCAGAAACTCCAAGAAAGTAAACGTCTAACTAGCAAAACACCCAGTCGGAGGCCTGGCACAAGTGGCTGAATACCAGCTGAGCAAGCATGAGGCCCTGAGTTCAAACCAGGTACTAGCAAAAAGGGAGGAAAAAGCCAGGACCAGAAGATGGAAAGACAGCCTTGATACTATTTACTATCCTGAACACTCTCACCAAGAACCAATACATTCCCTTCATGCAGGAATGCATTTGGTTTTCATATGAACACAAAATTCTGACTGATGGGCTAGCTCTGTAACTACTTTTGTTTTTGTTTTTGTCAGTCCCAAGGCTTAGAACTCTGGACCTGGGTTGCTGTCCTTGTGCTCTTCAGCTCAAGGTGAGCACTCTATTTCCTAAGCCACAGTGCCACTTCTGGTTTTCTAGTGGTTTAAGAGTCTCACGGACTTTCATGCCTGGGCTGGCTTTGAACTGTGATCCTCAGATCTCAGCCTCTTGAGTAGCTAGGATTACAGGTGTGAGCCACTGGTGCCCAGTTTGTAACTACTTCCATCGTGTGTGTGTGTGTGTGTGTGTGTGCGTGCGTGCGTGTGTGTGTGTGTGGTGTAAGCCAGTTCTGGGGCCTGAACTCAGGACCTGGGCACCGTCCTTGAGCTTTTTCATTTAAGGCTGGCACTCTATCATTTGAGCCACAGCTCTACTTCCAACTTTTTGCTTATTAACTACAAAGTGTCATGAACTTTCTTATCCTGGCTTGTTTTCGAACTGCGATCCTCAGATCTCGGTCTCCCGAGCAGCAGTGATTGTAGGTGTGAGCACCAGCACCAGCCTTGTTTTTACCCTCTTTGTCCTCGCCAGGACTGCGGTGCCAGCCTGGCAGACCGGGCAGCCACTGCGGGACGTCCCCGATGCTACTCACCTCACACCTGTAGCAGTTCTCGTGGAAATTTTTTCCCATGCACTCAATTTTGAAGGAGTCCTTCCCGTCCCGAGGGATGATGGGATTTTCACAGATGCTGCACACGGGGGCGAATTTCCTAGAGAGAAAAACAAAACCCACACTTGTTTGAGAGGCATTCACAATGACAAGCGCAGAAACAAGCCGGCAGGACTGAGGTGGCTGGAGTCACCTCCCAGCGCTCTTCTGGGCCACTGTGTGACCTGCCTGCCCCTGTGCCGCAGATCTGACTCCCTGGTGGGACAGAGTGGGGGGCCTGAGTGAGCAGCCCTGCTGCAGGGTGCTGGCGGCAGAAGTGGCGGTGGGGGGGGCGAGGAGGGCTGGAACTGAAGGGCTACTAGGGACTCTCACTTTTTTCTTTTGGTACCAGTACTGGAACTTGAACTCAGGGCCTGGGTACTGTCCCTTAGCTTTTTTTTTTTTTTGCTCAAGGCCATTGCTTTACCACTTGAGCCATAACTCCATTTCTGGCTTTTTGCTGGTTAACTGAAGATGAGAATCTCACAGATTTTTCTGCATAGGCTGGCTTCAAACCTGCATCCTCAGATCTCAGCCTACTGAGGACCTAGGATTACAGCTGTCTCTGTGTGTGTCAGGTTGGGTTATGTGTGTGTATGTTTGTGTCAGTATGGGTCTTAAACTTGGCCTGGGCATTGTCTCTGAGCTTTTGTGTTCAAGATTAGTGCTTTACCCCTTGACCCATACTTCCATTTCTGGCTTTTGGCTGGTTAACTGGAGCTATGAATCTCATGGACTTTCCTGCATAGGCTGGCTTTGACCCAGTCTCCTGAGTAGCTTGCATTACAGGCATGAGCAACTGTGTCCAGCAGTAGTCTTTTCAGCACATCCATCTGACTGCAGAATTCTGAGCATCTGACATGGCGCAGGAGCTCAGTCATTCACTACCAGCAGGTGAGCAGAGCAGGAAATGCTTCTAGAGTCCACAGGTTGCAGGGCACTCTTGGCTCTGGAGCCTGGCCCTGGTTTCTGCCCTGTCACCCCCTCCCCTCCCCTGCCCGTGCCCCTTCTACCTGTAGAAGTCGTCCAGGCAGTACACCTGGTTCTGGCTGTCCAGGGCGAAGCTCTCGTCCCCGATGCACCGGGCGCAGGTAATGCAGGTGAAGCAGTGAGGGTGGAAGACCTGGCTCAGGGCCCTGATGACGTGGTCACGGACCACCTCTCCACACTTGCCGCACTTCTCCAGAGTGTCCTGGGACAGAGGGCCCTTGCCTCAGAGCTGACACACAGCCAAGCACACCCCAGCCATGAGGGGCCCTGTCTTGGCCCAGAGCAGGAACCTTGAGGCAGCTACTGGATTCTTACTGCCATCTGTTGGAGGTTAGGGCCCCGCAGAAACTTCCTTTAAATCTCCAAGCCAAGAGGGCTGGAAGGTGGCTCTGCGGTAGAGTGCTTGCCTAGTATGTACGAAGCCCTGGGTTCGATTCCTCAGTACCATATACACAGAAAAAAGCCAGAAGTGGCGCTGTGGCTCAAGTGGTAGAGCAGAGTGCCAGCCTTGAGCAAAAGAAACTCAGGGACAGTGCCCAGGCCCTGAGTTCAAGACCCAGGACTGGCAAGAAAAAAAAAAATTATCTCAGAGCTAAATCCAGGTGAGGTGGCTCATACCTGAAATCCTTCCTCCATAGAGGCAGAGATCGGAGAACTGTGCCAATGGCTCCCACCCCTGGAACAGTGAGCTCAAACAACCCTTCTTTTCTTCCTAAGTTAGTGCCGGAAGGCTGACCACCTTCGGCAGCCACAGGAAGTGAATCCCCGGCTAACCTGCACTTCCCCATCTGCGGCATTCTGGGTCAACCGTGGGAGAGCCCAGTGAGGAAGGAAATAACATACCATCTCCCACGCGCCCGTCTCAATGCCGGGCACCCGGGCCCTGGCCATGGGGGAGTACCTGGTAGCAGGCTTCGCAGAGAGGCCGCCCCTCCTTCTGGTAGAAGCTCTGTCCGGCCAGCTGGCAGCGGCAGGTGCGGCAGGTGAAGCACTGGGCGTGGTACTGCCTCTTCATGGCCTCCACGGCCAGCTCTCGAGGGGACACAGGCTTGTGGCAGAAGCCGCAGACATCTAGAGTAGAGGAGACACAGACATCAGCAGCTCAGCCCAAGAGGACTGTACACCATCACCACCCAGAATATATCTAGAGCTCAGCCTCCAATTCCAGGAGTTTCCTAACCTCACAAACAAGGGGTCATGATGGGCACTGGGAAGGAATGTGACTAAATTAGGCCAGATAGGGTGACTCAAACCTGTAATCCCAGCTAGTCCAGAGCAAACCCAGCAAAAAGTCAGATCAAAAGAAGATGCAGTCTTGGGGTGATTTGTCAATCTCAAAAGGTAGTATTTTCAATTCCTCAAGATCTAAATGGGACATAAAACTGTAAGAATTGATCAAGATATAATACTACGAGAATAGAGGAATGTGCCAGATGCAGTAGGACACACCTGTAATACCAGTGCTAGGGAGGCTGAGGCAGGAGGATTTTGACTTCAAGGTCAGCCTGGGCTACATAACTAAACTGTTTCCAAAAAAAAAAAAAAGAACAAAAAATATTAGAAAAAACTAGGAAATTATTGACAATCTTGGAGAAGGCCTATGTCGCAAAATCCAGTAGCCTGAAAAGGACTGAAATATTTGACCACATAAAGATCAGATTCTTAGCCAGACACTGATGGCTCAGGCTTATAATCCCAGGAAGCTAATATCTGAGAATTGTGGTTTGAAACCAGTCCAGGCAAGAAAGTCCATGAGACTCTAATCTCCAATTTACCACCAAAAAGCTGGAAGCAGAGCTGTGGTTCAAATGGTAGCATGCCAGCCTCGAGCAAAAATGAGAAGAGCTTGAGGCAGTGAGTTCAAACCCCAGTACTGGCATACACAAATTCATTTTGCTTCTATAGCAACTATATGGTTGTTTAAATCGACTATCATTAGAAAAAAAAAAGAAAAGCAGGTCGAGGCAATAAATTGACGTACAGTTTTACAGATCACCCGCAAGGTAAGCTGGGGAAGGCACAGGGGTCGGCTCCCACGGGAAGCCCAGGCCAGCCCCTGGGGCCCAGGCTAGCCCTGTGCCCTTACCTGTTGATGCCTCTCTCTCTGGAGGGCTGACAGGGTCTTCTGGGGGTGGTGGCAGCTCCTCCTCCGAGGGCTTGAGGTGGCTAGGCTGAGGCTGGACCGATGGACCCTTTGACGGAGCCTGTGGGGGCATGGAGGAGTCACACAGATGGGACCCTGTGAGGACCTCCCTGCTTGTGGGGAACCCACCCTACAGATAGGAGGTAGATGCCCAGTGAGCACTCAGCTGGGTGGTTACCATGGCAGCAGAACCCACCCTCCCCTTCTGCCCTGCCCTATCAGCCAAAGCTCTGCCTCCTGGATTGGCAGTTTAGCTCCTGGGGCTGCGGTGGACAATGCAGCCCTTGGCCTGGGGCAGAGGATTAAGACTGGGTTCTAGCAGCGCACTGGACCAGGTCTTCCTTGGGGTGAGGAGGGTGCCTGAGGGACAGAAGGGAGCCAGCCCTTTCCAGGGACCTTGATGAACTCAAACAGTTTTTACCAGTGTGCCTAGCGACATCGAAGAGGTGATTTTTTTTTCTGTTTTTTTTTTTTTTTTTCCAGTACTGGGAGTTGGGACTCAAGGCTTGGTGCTCTAGACAGGAACTCTTACCCCTGAGCCATGCCCGACCCTTTTTGCTTTAGTTATTTTTCAGAGAGGGCCTTCACTTTTCTCCCCTAAGATCTAATCTACGATCAAGATTCCTCCTACCGGGCTGGGAAGGTGGCTCAGTGGTAGAGTGCTTGCCTTGCAATGCATGAGGCCCTGGGTTCGCTTCCTCAGCACCACATAAG